TCTGTTTTTGCTGTCGGGGTGAGTGTTCTTCCCGGTTCTTAATTTTTAATTCTTGTGAATTGTTCTACGTTTAATTTATACCATGTTGATTAGTGTTGGTAAGGGAGTCACTGCTCCGCTTCCTTCCTGACGATGGTCACCGTTAGGGAGACACTCCGACGGCCGGACGGTTTGAATAGGGAGGAGAATGATATTTAATTTATTTGCGGATTGTATGTATACGAGTTTTATAATTTTCTGATTGTACCGATTATCTTCTATTTTTGTTTCTTTGTATTTTGCAGCTACTGAAGAAGACCCGAAGTGGGTCGAAACGTTTAGAATTTAATAAATGAGTTTGACTTGAGATCTCATTTTAATTTATTAATTTTGTGCATGTCATCCGCATAGGCTCCGATTGCCGTCGAGATTTTATTTTTATTGTAACACAATAATTCGAGCCGAGATTAATAGTTTTTTTATATATTTTTATTGTTTTTCAAAGTACTCGCCACAATGATTGATACACTTTTGCATACGATTAAACCAATTTTCAAAGCATTTATTCCATTTCGAATGAGGTATCTCCAAAACATGATTTTTGAACGCTTTAATAGCTTCTTCGGGCAATAAAAATCGTTGACTACGCAGTTTATTCTTCACGGATAGGAACAAAAAGAAATCATCGGGTGCCAAATCAGGGCTGTACGGCGGATGACCCATCAATTCGATGTTTTGAGTGCTCAAATAGTCTCTTGTTTGAGCCGATGTGTGAGAGCTTGCATTGTCATGATGAAGAACAATCCGACGTCTCTTGTTTGTTTTCCTTATTTTACCGAAGATTCCTGGCAAACAGATGGTTGTGTACCTGTTATAGCCCGAAAGGCTATAATTACAAGTTAACCCCAATAAACACTGTTCTGTAACTTTTACAGATCATATACAAAACGGTTGTTCCCTGTTTTGGTAACCGTTATGTCAACTATTAAGTAACGTTTAGATGGAAATGTCAGCAACATTATGCCTGTATATGATATGTAATAGATACATAAAATTTAAACGTAATAGATACGTAAAATTTAGACATAAAATTACGTAACTATTACAGAACCTATCAAATATTATTTGTAACATTTACATAACATTTACAGAACATTTACAGAACCGATATTCTCTGTTCTGGTAACCATTATGTAACTTATAGGTAATGTTTAGGTCAAATGTTACGTATTGTATACAGCAACATTATGTTGTATGTAATATGTAACAAAATAACGTAACAAATACATAAAATTTAGGTATAAAATTATGTAACTATAACAGAACCTATTAAATATTATTTGTAACATTTACAGAACAGATATTCTCTGTTCTGGTAACCATTATGTAATTTATAGGTAATGTTTAGGTCAAATTATCACGTATTATATACAGCAACATTATGTTATATATATGTAACAAAATGACGTAACAAATAACTAATATTTAAACATAAAATTACAAAACTATAACAGAACAATCTTTCTTCAGTCTAATCATCGATAAATGTATATATTATAAATATATATATATATGCATCAATGATTAAAATAAAGAGACTATTCTGCTATAGTTATATAATTATTTATTTAAATTTTAAATATTTGTTACGTCATTTTGTTACATATTATATACAGGATAATGTTGCTATATAATACGTAATTTTGCCTTAAACATACATATCATATCTATATCAGTAATCTTTTTAAGAATCAATAGTTTCATCAACTTTTAGTAAATAAAAATTAATTTTAACAGCGTAAAATTATTGATTGGATGAAATTATTAATGAGCTGTTTTTAATTGATTAAATTAAAAGAATTATATATATATATATATATATATATATAATCTATATTATTAAGATATTTTTTAAAAATCGTGTATATATATATAAATATAACAATATAATATTGGTTTTTTTAACAATTCTTTATTTTATAAATTGTTAAAAAATGAATTTTTCAACAAACATTACTAATTAACATTTATAAAACTGTTTTTTTTCAATTCGCAATCATAATGATAAATTATAATATAATTTAAATTATATTACAGATTCTTTTTAACAGAAAACTTTTAATATATATTTATAGCTGTAAATAATAAACAACTGCTAAATAACTGATAATAATAAACAAGCAGAAAATTGCGCTTATATTTTAATACACTTCGCAACAAAATTAGGGTCACAAAATTAGAAAGAATCAAATTCAAATTCATGTATGTTTACAAAAAATGATCGTAGAGCAGTATATCAAAAAGCATTTTCAAGTATGAGACTCCAACTTTCTAATGCTCTAATGGAGATTTCCCTACAAAGATTTACTAAAAGATTTATTGCAAACGGCGCTATTCTACAATAAAGCCTTACAAAATTGTAGAAAAAACTTTAACTTTGGCGTGCACGAGGAGAAAAAGAATTCATTTTCTATCAATTTTATTAATTGTATTAAAATATAGCATTTCCCTTTCAAAATGCGTTTTTAAATATTACATTATGTGGATTGTGTTTCTCTGAGTTATGATATTTTGAAATGAATAGGCATTTTCAGGCTTATTTTCTAAAAAAAACCCTCGTATTTGTTGTCGATATTGGTATTACCCACAGGAAGATTACAAGGTTGGACTTACACTTCGTGTGTGTATGTGTGTGCAAGTGTGTGTGTGTGTGTGTGTGAGATGTATGTGTGTGGGGGGAAGGGTACGTGTGAATAAGTGTGGGATATGTGTGCGTGTATGGAATGTGTGAGTGTGTGTGGAGTGTGTAGAGTATGGGTGTGTAAGGTGTGTGTGGGGTACGTGTGAGCATGTGTGAGCTGTGTGTGAGCGTGTATGGGTGTGTGTGTGTGGGACGTGTGTATGGGTGTGTGTGTGTGTGTGTGTGTGTGTGGAGTGTGTGGGGGAGAAGGGTATATGTGAGCATGTGTGGGATGTGTGTGTGTATGGAATGTGTGAGTATGTGTGGAGTGTGTGTAGAGTATGGGTGTGTGTAAGCGTGTGTGGGGTACGTGTGAGCATGTGTGCGATGTGTGTGAACGTGTATGGGTGTGTGCGGGGTGTATATATGTGTGAAAAGTATGTGTACATAAGGAGGTGTATGTGTGAGAAGTGTGTGTGGGGGGGGGGCATGTGTGTGTGTGTGTGTGTGTATGAGTGCGTATAGGGTATGTGTGATGTGCATGGTGTGTGCGGAGGTGTGTAATGTATAAGTGTGGATGTATAAATGTGTATATATATATATATATATATATATAATTTATATGTGGGGGGAGGTGTTTTTAAGAATGTGTGTAAGTATGTATATAATGTGTGTCTGTCATACACATCCCACACACACATACTGACCTCATTCATATATATTCCATACACACTCACACATATCCGATACACACTTCACACACATACATTCCATACACACTCATACTTCATACACACTCACTCCATACACTCACACACATCCCATACACACATACTGATCTCATTTATACCCATTCCATACACACTCACTTTATACACTCACACATTCCACACACATACTGATCTCATTCATACACATTCCATACATACTCACACATATCTGATACACACTCCATACACAGTCACACTTCATATACACACTCACACACACCCCACACATGCACACACCATCACACTCATACATACCCCTATACATACCTTATTCATATATACACATTCCACACACACACTCACACATACACATACACTCGCGCGCACCCTATACAAACACACATATCCTATACACATTCCACATACTCACACACACTCCACACACATTCACACACTTCATACACGCTCACACACATCCCACACATACTCACTCATACCCTTTCACACACACACACACATCTTACACACATACACACACACACACACACATGTACACACACAAAGTGTAAGTCCAACCTTGTAACTTTCCTGTGGGTATTACCAATACCGACAACAAATATGAAGTTTTTTAAAAAGGCCTGAAAATGCTGTTTATTTCAAAACATCAAAACACACAATTCGTAACGCAATGTTTATAAAAATGCATTTAAAAAAAAAATATATTTTAATACCATTAATAAAGTTGATAAAAAATTTGTTCTTTCCGTAATCGCCTATCAATGTTAAAGTTTTTTTTCTACAATTATATAAGGCTTATTTTAAAGTAGTTTATAGTAAAATCTGTGTAAAGAAATTCCGTTAAAAAATCTCCATTGAAAACTTTGAGTTTTCTAGTTTTAAAATGCTTTTAAATATCAGACTATGATAATTTTCTAATTTTGTTGCGAAGTGTAGTATTACACTTGTAATAATCGTTAATAACATAAATTAATTAAATTTAAATAAAAACATAAATTTATAATAATAATTATTATAAAATTAACTCTTACGATACACACGAGTATTCGCGACTTCATTTTTTGGTTTTAACACTATATATACATTAGTATAAAGTAAATTTTCTATAGACTTTTCATATAAAAACTATATAATTCTCACATCAATAAACTTTTCATCAATACACTCATCCAAATTATACTTTTGAGATTCATGTGTAATTCATTAATAATTTGTCGAAAATACATGAGTGTGTATCGTTAGAGTTTAATTTAAACAAAAATATATTAAATTTAATTTAAACAAAAATGTAAACATAATTCAAATTGCATGGAGAAAATACGGTTATACTTTTTGTAATTAAAAAAAATTGAAACAAAATTGTTATTCAAAAGTATCAATAAATGATGCTTACTAAGTCTGCTAATTCTCTTAAAAGAAATATTTAATTCAAGTAATGACGTATATATATATATATATATATATATATATATATATATATATATAAGAACTCATAATGAAAAGAAACAGTGCAGACTATATGAATTTAGAACACAAAAATCTAAAAACTTAAGTATTAATTATTCAATAAAAAAAATTAGGAAAAGAAAAATATTTTTGTTATATTAATAGACTCTAGCCACTATAGAAAAAAATTATAATGAAAATAAATCATAAGCATCTGAAACATTTAAATGACTTGCGGATTTATTTCTTCGAAATCTTTTTGTCTGCTAAGCCTCTGACCACCTTGGCGAAACCATTCTTTTGTGACCTCTTCAAATTCTTTGTTTGTGAATTGATGTTGACCGGAAATTGTTGCTGAAATATTACAATACATTAAATTAAATTTTATTTTATAAACTTGTTTATAAAAATAAATATAAAAATATATTTTACCTAGTATTCCCATTAATATATACTTTAAGCTACTAATTTTAAAATGATTTCGCAATCCTTTCCAAGATGATTCTTTGGCAACTTCATTGGAAAATAAAGTTCGGTATATGCGAATTAAATTTTCCTTGGCGGACCTTCCGCCTATGCGAGATATATACAGCATCTTTAGAAATAAAACATACCGATAATACAGTTTCTATTGTTCTATTTAGATGAAATTTGCATTTAAATAAGCTAAATTAAACTTACAAATTTGTTGTACTCATCTACATTTTCTGATAAACGGTTTTCAAAAGCTGTTACTTCATTTATATTTTTAAATGGAAAAAATTGATGTATATTTGATGTATCCGTGACAGATGCTTTGGATTTATGTTGATTATTTTGTTTTTCTATATTTGTTAAATGAACATTTAGATCTTGTATTCCTAATGTAACTGTAGTTATAGCTGTATATATATTTTTAAAATGACCTGAAAAATTAATAGTATTGAATAAACAGTGCCAAAAATAGATATAAAGTATATTATAAGACAATAAGATTATAAGACAAAAATAAATACAATACCTTCCATTTTTTCGAATCCATCTGATATTAACGTATGTACATCCTGTATACCTAAAAATTAACATTAAAGAAATATTAGATTATTCACATAATAAACAATAATAACTGTAATAACTGTAATGAAAAAAACTTATATTATGAAAATAATATAAGTAAATTGAATTAAAGAATTTTAAAATAAAAATTACTTTTAAGTGGTACTAAAGTTCCATCAAGAATCTCCAGGTCAATATCATTGCTGACAACTGATGAATTAATAACAGTTGCGATAGATTGACTTTTGTTAACTGATTGCGAGGCATTTGTATTTACAGTAAGATTTGGTGGATTTGGTATAACTAAACGTGAGTCATCAGAATCAGATTCAGACTCATTGTGAGAAACAGTTTTATTCAACTGTCTTGTGCGTGACTTCTTTATTTCATTTATATTGCTTTCCTCACTTGAAGAATAGTTCGTTGCTCTCTGTCTAGCTTCCTCTAATGAATCTAAATTGAGACAAAATCGTATTTAGAAATTACATTATTTTTAAAAATATTAAAAAAAACAATTACATAAATTCTAAAATAAAATATAACTTACCATAATATCCATGAAATTTAATGGGATAAGATTCCCATTTAGGATCATTAATAACAGGTGGAATTTGTTTTATAATAAAGGTATTTACATTTTTTACCAATGGCCACCAGCATTCTTTTAAATTGAAAGAAAGCCATAAAGATGGAACTTCTGATACAATTTCTTCTTCATTATTTCCATCGCTTGGAAAAGTAACGACAGCGAAATTTTTCGCCATTATTAATAATCTGTTAAAAAAGTAAAATTTGTTAAGTAATTTAATATTTAATATTGTTTTCAATTATAGATTATATCAATATATAAGTACTCGCCATTAACATATTTCTTGTTGGTGTAGTAAAGGCAATACTACAGCTTCTTCGTCACATAAAGGCAATTTTACGCATTTTAATTTAATATCAAACAATGGAATAGTAATTAACTCATATTGTAACTCGTTAATTTGTTTAATACCGATATTGAAAGAGTCGCATGGAATGTGGAAAAATGATTTAATATTCAAATACTTTTTAGCAGTAACATAAATCTGTTTATTTTTAAAATAAATTTTTGTAAGCGAAACCGTTGTACCATCTAATAAAGAACAACAATTATCAGCAGTTCTTGTACTAAGATAGAAACCCTTGCATTGAACCAATTTTATTATCTTTCTGCCATTTATAATACGTACTTTTGATATTGGATAAATCTTTTCTACATTTGTTATATCCAAATTATCTTCTTCTATACAACGATTGGCTAATTGTTCTAATGGTTGACTTGAAGATCTTATCTTTGATTTAATTTTTTGCATGTAATTTTCGAACTTAAACGCGCTAAATTCATCTAACACTCCCCATAATTTTACATAATAACACAGATGAATTAAATTATGAACGTTATATGATATATATTGACAACCATATAATGTGCCATAATTTTCAACAAAATACAATAGTAAATTGTGTGCATAATCAAGCAGTTGTACGCAATATTTTTTGCTACATAAAATTCGAATTGCTATACTTAGACTCAAAAAATGAACATATTTATCGCGTGGTAATTTTTTCAAAAAAATTACTGGCCCAGTATATAATAATAATTGTCTTAATTCGGTGGCTTTAAAGCGATCGACCTCATCTAATTTCCTTGGTTTTCTAGCAAATTCTTTGGGTAAGAATGATGACATAGATAATAAAGAAGTTGAAGCAAGAGTTATCTGAGTTGCAACCATACGAACATTATGTTTGCCTTTAATCCAAAACTGCAATAATCTTTTCATTATTCCTAATAGTACGAGATGCATGTAGTCTAAAGGAAATTGAGTAACCATTCCAATGTTTAAGTCTTCAAGATTTGAAGTCATTTTATGGTGTTCTTCTTGTTGTTTTAATTTAAATGATTCATCTGACCTAATATTGCATTAATTTCTGGGTACGTTACTCGATTTTCTACGTAATCTCCCTCTTGAATACAATTACCGCATCCAAAATACGCATTATGTCCTCTAGTTCCCTTGATAAATGATTTTGCAGGAGCATCGCAGATAAATGCATTCAATTTTACAGTTATTTTTTTGCCATACTGTACAATACCAGTTCGAAAAATTTCAAGACAATCATCCTTGAAATATTTCAGAAAAGTATTGCAACATTTTGGCTTTTGAAAACCATGATAAACACCAATTATAAACGGTTCAGTGTAAAAATCTGCAACTATACTACCTAAAATAGGCCAAATTGACTGCCAGAAGATTTTGTTAAAGGAAGACCATCTATATTCACATTAATATTTATTTGAGATGGTAAATTACTTTGACAATAATGCTTACGAATAGATTTTCTTAAACTATCACTTAAACCTGCATGATAATATTTGCCTGGTGTCATTTCAATAATGTCTACTTGCTTGGGAGTTTGGAACAGAGTTCGAGCATCAAGAGGAAGATTATGGCCATATTTTACTAGAATTTTCAGTAAACTACTAGTAGCAGAATGACTGACATGATTTTCAATAGCCCATAATCGGATGTCGTTAATAATATCTGTTTTATTAGAAAATTCATCACTTGAAATACTTGAATGAGAACTATTATTATCAGTACCAATTCTCAAATGTTTGAAAATTAAATCATCTTCATTTTCAGTAATCTTGTGAGTATGCATTACATTGGAATAATTAAAATTAATTTCCTTTAGTACATTTTGTTGTTGAGGTAATTGTTCGATATTTTCTGGTCCATTTGATCCACTTATATTATTTTGAACTTCCAAATTTGATTCAATATTCATTTGGCAAATATTATTGAATTTTTTTAAAAAAATACGTCGCCGCTGCCTTGGCGTTAAAGAAGTAATGTCTAGTCGTAATTTTGACTTGGACATGATATAATCTTATAAAGAAACAGAAAAGCTAAATTGCGATTATATGTACGAAGATAATTATTGGATATGCCTTATACGGTCGCCTTTATTGCTTATTTATATTCC